TCTTCCTTTATGCTCCTTTACCTAATATTCTTTTCCAGTTACAATGAAATATTTTCCTTTCTTCTTTCCTTCCTTGCTTCCTTCCTTCCTTCTTTCCTTGCTTGCTTGCTTCCTTCCTTCCTTTCTTCCCCCCCTTTCTCCCTCCCTCCCTTCCATCTTCTCTCCCCTTATAAATATCACACAGCGAGGACGCTCCAGCTGTGAACACTTGGATTTTTTTCATGATATTAATTCCTACTGTTTCAAACCATGTTAAATGAGGTATTGAGTTCAAATATCCTAATTGATCAAAATAAATCTTATTTCCAAAAGTATGCATAAATAGATAGTAACAAAAAGTGTTCAAGGTTCAAGATGTCCTCACTGTAATTTGATTCTTGAAGGTTTCTAATCCCATTCTAACTAGGATCAAAATTGACCTGTTCTTAAATACCTACCTTCACAGATGTTGTGGAGAAAATAAAGAAGCGTCGCTCATCCAAGCCAAGTGCTGATGACAGCCAGGCAGAAGAACAAATGGACACAAGTGAAGCAACACAAGGAACAATAACAGATGAACGGTAAGACGATTTCAGTTGTTTTGCCTTCTGCTTTGCTGTAATGAATACGCTTGTTGCTTTAGAAATAGTCTTTAATCAATGTCCTCCTACTCATTAATAATTCATGAGTAAACCAGCCAATCAATGGGCTATTTTGGGTCACATGATGTTACTTAAAACCTGGTAAAGTCTTGTGAAAGGAGTGGATTCAGTCTGTAGTAACTGGAACAAAATTAATTCAGTCCTAGGACTAAGTTGGAACTAATTGCTTGGACTTGAAATCCCGTCCAGTCCTCATTGTCGGCTTTGAAATATTACTTTTCATACTCATTATTATTCAACTTGGAGTAACTGGAACAAAATGTAACTTGTGTAACTTGCTAACTTGGCATAGTTAGCTGAACATACTCCTTGAAAATTCATTTTTRGGTCCTTGTATACTCCTTGAATAGTCCTTGAATTTTAAGTCATTACCTCAGCACAAGCCCTGTATAAGTTACTTAAATGTGAATTATTTCTGTTTGACAGACTTGCAAAGTTTAAAACCTCCTTGGTAAATGCCTTCTCCACTGCTCATGTTCAATCCCTGCCTCTTGCTCAACTGAGGGAGTCGATAAACAAAGACAATGCTGACGCTAAGTATGACGAGCTGGAATTTGACGCAGCCATTCAAATCATGCAAGAAGCTAACCAGATATATGCTGCAGATGACAATGTATTTCTTATTTAACATCCACATTGAAGTATGCATTAGAGATATTTGTTTGCAACATAGAGAGAAGGTAGTGGTGATAATAATTGGTTTATATGTGTATTTAAGTATGCATGGTTTCTAATCATTTTACTGCCAACGATTTTTTTGGGGATTTTCATTGCTATCAGTCAAAAATTACGATAGGTACTGACTGATTAGTTTTGATTGACAGCAGCAAAAAAACAAACTTTAGCAAGCACCTCACGACTTGGTATGAAAACACCAGTAACATGTTTTTACCATGCTTTTTCTTGGTTTAAGATGAAATTTGAAACTAAAAGCAAAATCAAGGCAGGAAAATTAATTTAAGCATGTATAAAGCAACAACATCCAGTTCCTGTAAAACATGGTAAAAACAAGAATAATATTAAGCTAAACTTACACCCCAACCCAGTGTATCCCATGATGCACTGGGGGGAAAATGGTTCAAGTCACTAACTTGATATGTATATTGAGTGTACATATATTTTTCAATACCCAGTTACAATGGACATACTCGGTGGTGCCCGTAATAACAAGCCTCCACAATATCGCAAGTTATTTACAGGCATTTCTTTGTCAGTATTTTTTCACCAGGGATTTTGCTTCTGTCTGTAATATTGGGGTGCCTACGAGGCTAGAGTTGACTGTAGATTGTAATCTTTTGAAGCTTTATTCTATTTCCTGGAAAGTAATACTTTATATTACCAGCAACTTTGTTACCCTACTTTAGGTTACTTGAAGAGTCACACCATATATCTGTGAAACATTTACTAGCTATGTAAGTGCTTAAAAATATTTAGTTAACAATTATTTAGTTGTAAGATAACTTAGAATTCACTCATAAACCAAATAAAGACGAATTGAGGTATTTTTGCTCCTAATGTTCTCCTCTGTTAATATCCACTGTTTTGTACAAAATAGCTGCAATTAGACGACATGTTTGGTTTTGTCAACAAAGTATGTTAATGAAGATATTTAAAACACTAAAATTTGCAATTTATTCATTTAAACTATCAAAGGTATCTTGATATTTAACGTACAGACTTTCTGTTATTCCTCTTTCATTCACTTTTTTCTCTTCTCTTCCTTTTTTCTTTTCTCATTCTTTCTCAGTTGTATTTTCTCTTATTTTCTTTGCTAGCCTGCTTATTTTCAAGTCTCTTGTTTTCATTCCACTTCTCTTTCTTCACCTTCCCTCTCTTCTCTCTTGTCTATTCATTTATCTTTCCTTCTCCTTTATTTCTCCTCTTCTCTTCTGTTCTCTTCTGTTCTCTTCTCTTCTCTTCTCTTCTCT